GATAGGAAGAAATGCCCCTGAACTGGGGGTGTGTTCCCACCTAACCAGGTCAGGAAGGTGCAGCAGCAAAATAAAAGGGGGAGAAAAGCAGCAAATTGGGCACCCAGGCTCACACTGTGCCATAAAGACAGCCATGCAAGATTAAATACTGTTGGGTTTGCTCTCAGCAAGGCAATTCCTGCCTAACCTTGGGTAATATCGCATCTCTGACGCGCGGCGCTGTACCTGCTCGGAATGAGATGGATCTCCTCCATTAACGCCAATGGGCTCCAAATACCTTGGTGTACTTATTATTACCTGGCTTTAATGGATAATGAAATTGTGGCATAATATTGCTAACACTTGAAGGGTGTCTAATGGTGAACGGAACTGAAGGGAAAGTGCTTTGATGGGGGATTTAAAGGCATCAAGCTTCTTTGCCGGGTTTCCATTCCCAGCCCTGGGAGCGCAGGGATCCCAGCATCCTCCCTAGGACTGTGGGTTTGGCAGCTCCAAGGTCACCACCATGCCCAGCATGCTGCTGGCCACGTCCCCAAGGGCAGCACAACAGAGGGACTGTCAGGGCACCGGTCCACAGCAAAGAAGGGCATGGCTCACACTTTGTCACAGCCCAAAGAAGAGAAAGGGGCTCACAGCCATACAGCAAGCATTGCTCTGAGAATGAGATCCCAAACTGCACGGCTACTCCCTGCCCCCTGGCCTGAGCTGCACCTGATGCCAGCACAGCACTGTCACCACTTGCTGCCTTGAAATACAGCGTGACTCATCCCTGCAGCTGCTCCAAGTGGAGTTCATTAAGCAGATGAGTAAATACGAGCAGCTTGCAGAGGGAGAACCTTCCTTAGCTGAGCTCTCTGAGACCGGGCTACAGCTGTGCCCATTTGGCTGCTGTGCTCCAAATTGTCACCCCCCCCCCTCCTGCCTCCATCCTCCTGTTTGCCCCAGGGATGCTCAGCACCCTCTGCGTGGTGACCACCCCGCCTGCCTGTCTGTCCTGTGGGCAGCCCTGTGACAAGGGGTGATCCCCAGCCCTGTGAGCAGTAGGAGTGTGGCTGGGGGCACTGAGATAAGAGAGCTCACAGCCCCCCCTGCTCTGCACAGGCACTGTCCCAGCCCCTACCTGCAGCTGCCTCTCGCTGCTCATTGCACGGCGCTGGTATTTATCTCCAATTGCCCGTGAAATGCTTCTGCTGCTGTTAATGAAATGAGAGCAACATCAGCTGCATCCTGACACCCTTCCATCCCCCAAAACCTCCCTGCAGCCAGCTGGATTTGGGCTCAGGTCCCTCCGCTGTGCCCTGCAGCGCTGCACATCCCAAGCATTGCTGCAGCTCTGTAAGTTTGCACTAAGGCCTTTTTACACTCTGTGCAGGTGCCAGCTGCCCCCCTTGTCCAGGGCTGCACCCCACACCCAGGGCTGCTCCCTCATTGCACTGATGCTCCAACCTCTGCCCCCCCTGCAGCACCCACCTCTGCTCAGAGCTGGAGGGCTTTGAAAGCCAACAGATGACTTTGCAAAAAAGTGATCCCCTTCCAGTGACACTTGGTGCCATGCAGCCTGGCCCATTTGTCACAAAGCATTCAAAGGAGATTAAAACCGAGTCGTTTTGGAGGAGATACTCTCTTACACCGTGAGACAGCCTCACGTTCATTACAGAGCGTCACTTTAGAGCACTTTCTGCAGAGACATTTTAACTGTCCCCTTCAGGCCCACAGAACTTTGTGCTGCTGATAATTAAACCATGAAATACAGTGGGGCTGTGGAAGCGCTCCCCTTCCCGGCCACTGCAGCGCTGCTTATTTATGACCCCTGTGCATCTTTATTGGTGAGGATGGGGACAGGAGTTGGGCAAGCTTTCCTATCGCTCTAATAAAATCTTATTTCCAAAGCACTGCTGAGATAAATTTAAACTCATTACAGCAGTTGCATAATCGCACTCCCTCATAAAGACAAACAAAGTAAACAAGAATTGCAGATGGAGGAGACCAAGCGGGTCACCTCCTCATCCCCCAGTTGTGTGTGATTATCCCCAGAAGGATACACCACCAACGCTTTGTCTTCATTGCTGCTGTCTTGCACTTGCACTGCCATGGCAGGAACCACTTACCTGCGATGCATACCCACGAGGGGAAAAAATAATTGTTTTAACCAGTGCATCGGTGAGATCCTTGGAAATGTCTGTAGTTGTTCTTCTGTTATGATCTCAGGGTTACCTGCTTAATGCAGACTTGGAGGTTGGCTCTGGGGGGCTGTGGGACGGCAGCATTGCCGATGCTGAATGCTGCCCTATCTGCATGTTACTCCAGCGCTTACCTCTATTTACCTGAGAGACATTTATGGGCTCACAATGAGGCAGCCAGCATGGCAGTGAGGTGTTTGTCAGCCCAGTTCCCTGTGCAGAGCAAAGCTATCAAGATCTGCAGTGACCCATGGTGGTGATTAAATTAGCAAAGTGCCTAATGGAGCTCCTGCCTCCAGCCTGGCTCCCAAAACCACCCTCCAGCTGCATCCTGGATGTGCTTTGTAGGGGTTCTGGAGGATGGACCCCTTCACTGGGCACCCAGCTTGCTCCCTGCACTAAAAGAACGGCCTTGTGGAGCCAACAGATCCTTCCATGCTCTGTATCCTTCAAAAACCTATTAGCCTTTATGGGGAGCTGTCTCCATAGAAGCAAGGAATGGCCCTTCGCTCTGCAATCTACAAAGCATCGTTCTGCCATCATCCCATTTGTAACCTCCCTGCCCCTCCTGCTCCTCTGTGTCCATCAGCGAGTGCCCAACCCCATGCAGCAGCCCAGGGCTGAGCCCACAGCTGCAGCAGGTGGCTCTGATTGCATTCCTGGTTGGCACAGATTGGTGTGAGGGGAGGGATGCAGAGCACTGTGAGCATCACCAGGACATCGTGCACAGCCCCTACCTTCCAGTGTCCCCCACCCTGAGGTCACCACTCTGAGAAGCATTCAGCACTGAGGAAAACATCCTTTCCCACAGCTGGTGCCTCCTGAAAGACAGCCAGAGCTGAAGCATGCTTAAAACCAGGGGACAGCGTGGCACAGCATCACCAACCTGCAGGGCAACCAGGGCAACTTGCAGGCAGGACCCACAGAGAGACTTCGCAACGTAGCTGACATATTCAGCCCTGCATGGAAAAATGAAGGATTTGAGCACCATCCTTAGCCCTTAAGGAGGGAAGACTCACCAGGTTTTGGTGCACAGAGCGGTGCCGGAGCCGTGGCAGTGCTGCAGGCGCAGGGAGCCGGGCTGAGCTCAGGGAAACTCGAGATGCCGAGCGCTTCGATTCTCAGAAAAGCAATTACTGTGCAGCAGATTACAGAGCTAATAAAATCCCATTATACCATTTCAGAGAGTAAATCTGATCTGGATACTGCCAATTTATATCAGACATCCCACAAAAAGTCCCGTAAGAGCCCCCGACGTACAGACTGTGTGTGCACGCGCGTAATACAAGGCTATAATAGATCACACTAATTAGATATCCGATAACAGGAGGCCTGATAGGAACTACATTAAAATCTCTTTAAGATGAAGACATAAAACCCAAGGGAGAGGATACAGAGTTAATGATGCTGCCACTGAGGCTGCGGTTCATTGCTCCTCACTGTCCTGTTCCACCCCGGACCCTACTCTGATGCTGGGACCCTCGGTTGGACCCCATGCAATGCATCGTGTCCCATTCCCTGCAGGTGCCAGGAGGACAGGGTGGTGGCAGTGGGTTCTGCACGCTCCCCAGCACTGCAGCCCAGGGCACGATCCCCAGCCCCGCTGCGGCGCTGCCCGTGATTTTTATTATCCAGATTCAATAACAGCAAACAGCTCCGAGCTGTCTGCGCTCCCCGGGAGGTGACTTACCATCCTCTAACAGAGCTGAGAAATCAAATTAGCCCCAGCTTTACACTCTCTCTTTCCCTGACACCGCTATTGGCAGCCGAGGGGGAGTTCATCAGGGCCGTGCACTAATTCTTATCTCGTTTAAGTGACTCCACGCTGCCATCTGATGCAATTTGCTCCTTGCCGCAGCCGAGGGCTCCGATCCTGCCTGGCTGCCTCACCAGCCCTCCCAGTACGAGGGAGCTTCTGGAGAAGCTGGGAGCACCGTGAGGATTTGGGGAAAGTCCTTCTCCAGCCTGCCCTGCTCATCCCTGCCACTGAGCAGTTATTTCTTCTTCCCCTATAGCAACTCCAATTCCAGCACTGCTCAGTGCAGCTCCAGAGCTCTCTGCCTGGCTGCTGGAAGCCCACCCTGCCCCACAGCAGCTCTGGCTGTACCCACACCAAGCACCCCACTCCTGAAGGTACTTAAGGCCAGGTTGCATGGGCCCTGGGCAGCCTGGTTTGGTTGTTGGCAACTTACACACGGCAGGGGCTTGGAGTGCAGTGACCTTAAAGATCCCCTCCAAGCTAAGCCATTCTACAGCTCTATTCTTTGTACGTCCCTGGCACAGATCTCACCTCTCTCATTTGCAGGCCATGAAAGGGCTCCTGGCTCAGCCTTGTGGCTCTCTCCATCACCAGAACTGCTCCCCATACACCTCCTGCAGCCCCTGCTCTCTTCCACGGCTCACAATCCCCCAGAGCGAACCTGCACAGCCACATGGCGAGCACCTGGCACAGGTTTCATCCTTCACCTGCACAGCATCCACAGTAGCACAGCTCTGATGGGGAAATCTCACACTGCTGCCACCCGCAGATGATGCAGCCAGCTCCCAGTCCTCCCAGAAACAGGAGCTTCCCCCCAGCACTCTGCATGGCCAGGGGGCTCAGATACTCAGCATTCGCAGCATGCCAGCTGTGGGGCGGGCGGCCTCCTCCTTCCTCCCTCCCCTCCTGAAACTCGATGCAGCAGAGGAGGCTGATTGCAAGATTAATTACGCATTTTCCCAAACCTGACGGCTGGGGGACAGCGAGCAAAAAGTGCTGCCTGCTTCCCTGATTGGGTTCACTTAGAGGAGAGCGCAGACTGCGGACGGAGCCGGGGCACCATGGTGCTGGCGGTGGCTGTCATGTTGCTGCTCCTGGCACTGCTGCCACCGGTGTCGATGCTGCAGAATGCAGGTAAGGACACGATGGGGAAACCTTCAGGGGTGGGAGAAGGAGCTGGTTTCTTGCAGCTGGAGGCACGTTGGAGCACCTTCATGTAAGCAGTGGCTCTATAGAGCATGCAAACTTTAGGGTTGTTTTGATGTTTGCTTGTTTGTTTGTTTTAAAGTATTTTTTAAGATTAAAATTATTCCAAATCTGCATCCATGGGTAAATCCAACCATGGATAACCTCTTGGAAAGAGCTTGGAAAGAGCTCCAAGGCACTGCGTGCTTGAGTGAGTGTGGTTGCAAAGAGAGGGAGGTAATGGCTTACCTGAACCCAGCGCAGAGTTTTGGGCACATCAGGGGTTTCAGAGCACTTGGATCCCAAGGGAGGATCCCCAGACATGGTGCCATGACCCCGCTTCAGTGGCTGTATGCCACGGCCCAACTGCTGGGCTGAGCAGGGGAAGCAGCTTTGGCCAATGTTCTTTATGTTGAATAGTCAAAGGCAACCAGTACAGGGCCATGCAAGTGGTTTCAGGAGTGCATGTTGTTTCTGTCCCCCTCCCCCAACGGCCCCACGGGGGGGGGGGGGGGCGGAGAAGGACGGACAGACAGATATTTTGTCCTGGATTTAAAAAAAGTCTTACCATTGGGCATTTTTTGGAATAAGTTCACTCTGTGGTTGATGCTGATTGCATCACAAAGTTTGAATATTTGGTTACAGAGTGCTGCCAGCCAACAGATAGCAACTGGGGGCTTTCTGCCCTTTTAAAGTCAGTTTCCTAGTTATTTAATTTCATAGACAAGATTTCCCTTTAGCTCAGATGGAAAACAGTGAGCAAACAGCACTTACCTGCAGTGTGGCAGATGGTGTGAGCCAGCCAAGCCCTGGGACCAGCACTGGGACTCTGCAGTGAGCCCAGCCCCATCCAATGTGGCTTTTTCCATGCACTGGGAACAAGGTGCCCTAAGCCAGCTGTGAGCAGCTGCAGCTTGGCCAGAGCCACTGGTGCAGTGGCAGCAGTGCCTGAGTTCCTCCCATTCCTCCCATCCCTCTGATTGCTGCTTCTCACCCCTGTTGCCTCCAACTGCTAACGTGTGTCTAGATGAGGGTCATGAGCATGGCCAGCTCTGGAGCATTATGGGTTGCACGTAAAGTTGGAGGGGCTGCTTTTTCTTAGCTCAAAATAAAAGATGAGTATTTCCTCCCAGGCAGTTTTTTCCCAAGTTCCTGCAGATCTACTCAATGAGTGCCCCTGGTTACATACAGAGCGGGCTCTGTTGGTTGAGATACCAACACCAACATTGCTCCTGCACAACAAAGTGATGTTACTCATAGCTAAAGATACCAGTTTGGCAACACAGAGCTGCAGATGCAATGCCCACAGCCTGGCAGAGCAGCACAGGGCCAACGCTGCGTGCACACATGCATACACCAACCCTGTGGGTCCTTCTTCAGCTTCAGCCCATACACCTTACACATATAGGGCAGGAGGAGTGCCTGGAGCAGGGATGGCACAGAGCACTGCTATCCCAGCTCTAATCACACAGCCCTGTGCTGCACCTCCTCCTTTTGTGGGCTCAGAGCATCCAACTCTCACGTGTGCCACAAAGAGACGAGATCTGAATGTGCAGAAGATGTGCTGTCCAATACTTGGGCTCCTCAGCCTTGATGCAGTGCCATTCAGAGCCACAAATGATGGAGGAGTGGCACAGAACCTTCCCAGCATTGCATGAACGCACCAGGGCAGCAAAGATGAGCTAAGGAACAGATATTTGACCAATAGCCAAAAAACCCAGCTGGCATGCAGTTGCTTTCCAAGAGACTGACTGGCCAGCAGCGTTTGCAGGCATTTGTGCCATAGAAAGCACTGGGGAACTGGATGCAAAGTCTGGTGACACACGTGGTGCAGCCCCCCAGGATTAGAACAGGTACCTTTTTTTATCTGGTATAGACAGATTTTAGTCTTCTTTGTTACCTTGCATGAATTTAGCATCTTAGCTCATCTTTAACCTTAGCCTTCACCTTCATAGTAAAGAAGTAATGTCTCTCCAATAAGGGTTAGAAAGCTTATCTTGGGGCAGTGATTCCCTCTCAGTTTCCCACTGTCCTGACATCACTCCTGCAGAGGAGGCAGGCAGCAGCTTCCGGTGGGACACGGCCACCTGAGACCCAAGAAGAGCCCAGGGAAGGTCAGGGTGATTCAGGGAACCAGGGGGGCAAACAACAAATATGAGCTGCCTCTCCCCATCCCAGCAGGAGCCCTGCAGGGGAGCCCAGAGCCAGATCCCTCCACTCCAGCCCTGCTCCGTCTGTCCGACACGCTGCTGGCTCACTACAGGAGGGGAGTCCGACCCGTGCAGGACTGGCGCACCACCACCACCGTGGCCATCGATGTCATGGTGTACGCCATCCTCAGCGTGGTGAGCCTGCTGTCCTCCCATCCCAGCTCTGATGGGGAACCAAGGGGTTCCCAACCAACCTCTCCCCTTGCACCCCACAGCATTTTGCTGCTGTTCATTCCTCTGTAAAAGGGATGATGCTTGCTGCACGAATTCCCCCTGGCTACTCCCACCCACCTACACCAGCAATGGTTTGTTGTCACCCTGCCCCAATCACTCCTCCTCTTGTTCCCACAGGACGAGAAAAACCAGGTGCTGACCACCTACATCTGGTACAGACAGGTGAGCCCACGGACCTTTCCAGCCCCATCTTCCCTTCAGCCCCATCTGCCAGCACCGAGGCTCTGCCCCACAGTGTGCAGGGATGTGCCAGTCCCAGGAGGGATGCATGGGGGAAGGCAGGTGGCTGTCAGACAGCCCTGATATTTGCCTACCTCATCATCCCAGCTCTCAGCCCTGCAGACAGGTCCTGGCACGGTGGCTCCTTTTCAAAACTGGGGCCATCTCCCTTGGGTGCAGGAATGCAGGAAGGCTGTGGAGCACTAAATTCAACAGAAAGGAAAATCTCCTTTGAGTTCATTTGTAAGCCTCTTCCCCAAAGACAGCTTCCTTGTCTGCTCAGCTACTCACTCACCTCTGGTTTTTGTTCCCTGCAACTGCACAGGTATCAGTCAATGAATTCACCCTCAAACAAGGCCCACGAGACACAAAGCACCTGGATGAGTGCAGAAGGAAGCAATTTCAGGAAGAGACAGGACAGGCATTTCTGTTTTCATGGGAGATGCTGCTGGAGATGGGGTAGTATCCCTGTGAGAGCACCCCTGGGAGGCAAACGTGTCTCCGTGAGCACATGCCTTTCCAGCTCACACCATGGGGTTATCCCCCATTATTGCAGGTCATAACAAGACCTCTGCAGAGCATGAGTCAAGACTCTGAAGACACAGCTTGCACACTGCCTGCTTCTCACTGTTGTGTAGCTGGAGAAACGGGCTTTCCTTTCTCTCAGACATTTAGACATTTAGGGTTTCTTTCTGTAACAGACTGCTGGCATTGGGTTTGAATCTTGGCAAGGCCAGTGTTACCTTCCAGATCCCCTTTTGCTTTGCCCCCACAGCACTGGACAGATGAGTTCCTCCAGTGGGATCCAGCACACTTTGACAACATCACGCAGATTTCCCTCCCTGCAGAGAGCATCTGGGTGCCCGACATCCTCATCAACGAGTTGTAAGTACAGCACAGCCCCAACCCAAACCCCAAAAGAGAGCTTGGGGCTTTAACCTCCCTCTCCCATCACTGTGCCTTGCTCTGTATTCCTGGCACAGAACTGGCATTGCCCCCGTGTGCAGTGGGCTGCAGATGGGGAACGGCTTGGCACTTGGGACATTTCCAATGCTGGCTAACTGCACACATTTGTAATTACCCACGCTGTGCTGGGGGTGGGATCCAGATATTTGGGGAAAGGCTTTGTTAAGGAAGCACAATGCGAGGGCAGCTGCAGAGCTGCCAGCCCTCCCTGCAAAGCCAGCCATTGTCCTTCCCCACCCCCACTTCTGCTGTGATTTAAGGTGTTCCCACCATCTCATGCTGCAGAGACCCCCGTGAGGCAGAGCCACATATGGGCTTGGGCTGTTCTGGGAGAGCACGGGGAGCACGGTAATGACATGGGGCAGCTGTGCCCACGCAGGGCAGTGTGCTACTGCTTTGGCCCTTTCCCCTGACCTCCACTTGTTTCCAAAAGAACCCGTTGGCAGAACAGCAAGGAAAGGTCCCAGTGCTGGGCAGTCCCCATCCCAAACGCAGCTTGCCAGGAGGAGCCCAGCTGTTTGCAGCCCTCCCCAAAGCACTCCCTACCCTTATGTTCTCTGTCCCTGTGCCCTCCAGCGTGGACGTCGGGAAGTCCCCTGACGTCCCCTACGTCTACATTCGCCACCACGGAGAGGTCCAGAACCTCAAGCCCATCCAGGTGGTGACAGCCTGCAGCTTGGACATCTACAATTTCCCCTTCGACATCCAGAACTGCTCTCTTACCTTCACCAGCTGGCTGCACAACAGTGAGCGCTGGGGACTCGGGGACGGGAGCGGGGCGGGCGGCTCCGTGCAGGGGACGCGTCCCCCTCTAGGTGGCCCCAGCGGCTCGGGAATGCCGTGCCCGGCAGCCTGCAGCTCCGTCCCCACCTCCCTTGCAGTCCGCGACATCAACCTCTCGTTGTGGCGGCAGCCGGAGCTGGTGAAATTCGACAGGAGCGTCTTCATGAACCAGGGCGAGTGGGAGCTGCTCTACGTGCTCAGCCACTTCCAGGAGTTCAGCGTCAAAAGCAGCGACAGCTACGCCGAGATGAAGTTCTACGTAAGGGCTCTTGCCTTCTTGGGGCAACGCTGTGCCCTGCTTTGAGCGCTGCTGTTCTCAGAGATGAGACACCGTGGCATAGTTTTGCCCTTGGTCCCATTACTTCAAGCTGCTCCCCAGCCCCGTGCTGAGGTGCATCCCTCCACCATTCCAAGGGTCTGGGCAGTGCAGCCCACCACTCTCACCTGCCTTAGTAGAGACCCAGACCAGCCCAAGCCTACCTTTCAAGCAGGGCTCTGCCTTCACTAAACCTTTCCTGTCTCTCCCTGTGTCCCAATAGGTGGTCATCCGGAGGCGTCCTCTCTTCTATACTATCAACCTGCTGCTCCCTAGCATCTTCCTGATGGTGATGGACATTGTAGGCTTCTACCTGCCTCCCAACAGTGGTGAGAGGGTGTCTTTCAAGATCACTCTCCTCCTGGGCTACTCAGTTTTCCTCATCATCGTATCTGACACGCTTCCAGCGACTGCTGTTGGCACCCCACTGATAGGTGAGGCAGTACCACTGGCCCGAGCTGGTGCTGGGGCAAGAGCTCTTCACACAAGAGCAAGAAATGGGAGATGTGGGTTGGTACAGAAATGGGGGCTGCAAAATAGCTCAGGATTTGGAGGTATCAAGGCTACTCCACGTATCTGACAGAGCTGCACTGGAGCTCTGGTGTTGGAGCAGATGCATGGCTGTGCAGGCAATGCCACAGCAGCCCAGAGAACAGAATGACATCCTGCCAACAGGGTGGGGTGGGCTACAAAGCAGTTGTAGGCCTGGAGCTCCAGGAGCTGCAGCTCTATGCCGTGACCAGAGATCTGCTGCAGGGCTTGGCAGGAAGAATTCACTCAAGACCTGCCTGCACTGTGCATCGATCTAAAGACTGAGCTGGCCAATGCAGGCCACTCACCTTGTTGGCATCTCCACAGGCATCTATTTTGTGGTGTGCATGGCATTGCTCGTCATCAGCCTCACAGAGACCATCTTCATTGTGCGCCTGGTACACAAGCAAGACCTGCAGCCTCACGTCCCCAGCTGGGTGAAGCACTTACTGCTGGAACGTGCCACTGCACTGCTCTGCATCTGGGACAGGAACAAATTCAGCCAAAGCAGAACACAGAGCTCAGACATCTCTAGGCACGTGGAGAACAATGACAGCACAGGTAAGGACTGGGGAGAGTGGTCCTGCAGAAACAGAAGGGAAATGAATCCTACTCAGAACTAAGCCGAAAGCTCTTCTAGTGGTGTATTATCAGAACTAGCATTTGTTATTTCAATTAGCTCTCACCATCATCTCTCTTGGAGCACTGTGGCACATGCACAGCAATCCAGATGTCCAGATCACATGCATAAGTCTCAGCTCTGCATTTAAAAAGATTTTTCTCTCTTCTCTCTCTTGATCCTGCAGCCAAGCTGAACCACTATGGTTCCGAAGACCCTCGGGAGCGAGAGGTGGCAGGAGGCACAAGGCCCACCCCTGCCTTTGCCACTCCAGCAGAGGGCTCTCTGCTCATTCACAGCATCCTGCACGAGATCACCACCATCCGCCAGTTCCTGGAGAAGCGTGATGAATTCCGTGATGTCGCCCGTGAGTGGCTGCAAGTGGGCTACGTGTTGGACGTCCTGCTCTTCCGAGCATACCTGGTGGCTGTCCTGGCCTACACTGTCACACTGGGCACCCTCTGGTCGGTGTGGCAGTATGCCTGAGCTGCATTTTGGGGCAGGCAATGTGAGGACCTCAGATGCTGCTGCGCTCCAGAGGCTATTCCCTGATTCATGCACTCAGACCCGTCTGTGTTTTCTGACTACAGAGATCCAGACTGGTGCAATTGCCCCACTTCCAGTAGCTCTAGAACAGCAGCATCTGAGTGCGAAGATAAGGGCTGAGGAAAAGCGAGCAAACACCGAGCATGCCTACCCCAACCAAAGCGCTGTCAGCTCCAACCGAGCTCCTTTCCCTTTCTCTCACCTCACAAGGGCTTCCCGGCTGGCTGCAGCCTCTTCACCCATCCCTCTTCATCCTCCTTCCAGCCAGGTTAAGGCCACGAGTACAGCGCGGCCCCGCTCCCGCCCGCCGCTTCAGCACCACGGACAGCGGCAGCGGCGCAGTCCGGCGGCGCCGCTCCCGCCGGGGCTCCCCGGTCCCAGCCAAACCCCCGCGCTTCTGGACTCGTGGGGCTCAGCCCTCACCTTGCCCAGCGGAGGCTCATCTGAAGCCCAGGTCATCAGGATGCCCACCCCTCTCTCCACCCTTCCCCAGGGTGTTTTCCTGCTGTCTCCTCCATCCCGGGGCCACCCAACTCCTTCCTGGTCACACCTCCATCCTCATCACGCAACCTGCTGTGGCAGAGGGACATGGATCTGCCCTCCACGCAGGGCTGTGCTCACCAGCTCCACTCACCTTGCACGAAACACTGGAAGCTGCGCATCTGTTTCTTGTTCTTTGTTAATGCTTCAACCAGAGCCTCAGATCCTGCATGTCAGTGTCTTCTCTTCTCCTGAGTGTTTTTTGCATGCTTGACCAGCAGATCCCCTCCACATTCCTACCCATCAGTACAGTAACTGGGAAAGAACTAGTGGGGTGGGGGGAGAGGAACAAAAAAAACACAACAAAAATACACAGTGCAAATGGGTCTGTCTCCATAGGAATGCAATGCTGGAAGAGACAGAGTTACCTGTCTTGGTCCTCCACTACTGCAGGCTTCCAAAGCTGCATGCTCCCTCTACATACCTCTGCCAGGGTAGTGGCACGAAGCTGCTGTCCAACAGGAGAGAAAAGGAGCTCCTGCATCTCAGAACAGCAGGACTGGGATTTGAGCCAAAAATTGTAAAGAGCTGCTCTGCCCAGTGCAATACCTGCACAGCGTGTTTGCAAACTAGGGGTAGTGTGTCAGGCAGCTGTGATGTCTGCCAAGAGAAAAAGCCAAACTGATAGCATTTTCAGGGTGGTTCCTGAAACCCTGTGCAGGTACAGACATGTGCTTCACACTTGCTCCCTACCTGAGCATCCAGCGCAGGCACCGTCCTCTGAAGTACTGGAGATGAAGAGAGGCCTCATCCTGTTTGCTGTGGTAGCTCCTTGGCAGGAACACAGATATCACAGTTTCTGGCACCTCTGTGTCCACTTCCGAGCCCACCAACCCCAATCCATAGGCCAGACACCCTCCCAGGCCTTCACATGCAGGAAAACTCCCTGCTAAGTGACAGGAGGGCTGCTGGCTGGGTGGCGTGGGCTCCTGGCAGCCCCAACCAGCGCTAATGCGCTGATGGTCTGTAAGTGGCTGGCTATTGATGAGGTGTCCAGTTAAAGAGTTTGTGAGACACTAAATCAGCCCATTGATCCTACTGAGATCGATGGCGCTACAGACCTGATCACTGCAGCGGGCAATTAACACCCTCTGGAATGAGCTGCCTTCATGTAACATCAAACGCTCCAACAGACAAATCCAATGGGCCCATTGAACCGGGCGTGCAACGCCTCCCACCCGCACGAGACCTGGGCTGGGGTCGGTGGGACCACAGCATCTCCTTCCTCAGCCATGCCCCACAAAAGCCCTCTGCCCCACGGCTCACCTTGCTACCACAGATCCCACAGACAACACTTCTCTGGCCATCCCGGTCCCGATGTGACTCGATCCCAGTGCAGAGCTGCTAACCCTCACCCGCTCCATAGATTGCTGTGGGAAATGAGTTAAGGCAGAGCAGGAGGCAGCACCCAGGCTTTCTCCCTTTCAGATTAGTGCTTTCCCCTCGCACGGCTCTGGGAAGTGCTGCATGCAGGAAAAGTTACAGGCATCTCTACGAGCTGAGCCTGGATTTTCCTCTAAACAACAACAAAAAAATCAATAAATCTGAATCTAATCTACTAATAAAGGTTTAATGAGGACATAATGTTGATGGAACAGAACATCGTTGCAGCATAATCACTCCCAGCTGCTGTGTGAATGTACAGACAAAGGCCCAGTCCTATGACAATTTCCCTGTTATAATAACTCCTTTGTATGAGGCCAAACGCTGCAGCGGGATCTTATCCCTTCCTCCACGAGGGATGGTGCAGACAGCAGGTTGCTGCAAGCAGGACCCCTCAACAAGGGGTGCCCAACACATCCCTAGGAGGGGCTGTGCCAAGAGGCAGCACCTAGAGGCAGTTGCCACTTGGAGGCTCATGTGTTGCCACCAGCACTTCAGGAGCCTCTGATGCTGGCTGTGCCCTGCAGCAGGACCCACAGAGCAGAAGATGGGGCACAGCTGCCCCGGGGGAGCCTTGGGTGGGCACACAGCTCACTGTGGGCATAGGAGGAGCCCACGCTCACACCACAGTGCATTGCATCCATCACCTGAAAAATAAATAACGTGTTACACGGAGTGACTGCACGGGGACTGCTACAGGATGGGCACGTAACTGCACCCTAGCCCCCCTGGGGGGCACCAAGGGTGGGAGGGAGCAGCTCGCAGTGCACCGGGCCGAGTGCCGCATGCCATACAGCGACATAAAAGGAGTGCAGACTTTGCTGTTAATGTAGTCAGTAAATAAATAAAGGAGGGCTTAAGCTTAGTGTACAGCAATCAGTTTAGAACTACAGGATAATTAACACAGCGGGGGGCCAGACTACTCTGCAGTCAGGTTTAAATGAACGAGTTCACTTTCATTGAGGCAAACCCGCTCTGCTCCCCAGCGAGCTGTGCATGCAGCAGCAGTGCCTGCACTGGCAGCAGCAAGCAGGGCCAAGGGTTGCACCCCCTGCACCCCACAGCAGCAGGGAGCTCCTGTGTGGGCTTCCTGCTGTGAATCCTCCTCTTGCTGTTTGCTCCTACATCACCCAGGCAGCCTGCAACCGGCCCTGCTCCCTTCCCAAGCAACGCAAATGCACCTGTGCATGCACCATCCCAGCAAGGAAGAGCCAACCTTGGGTGGGAATGGCACCCACACGGGGTGGGAATGGCCCTTTTGGCTTCAGAACCCAAATGGCAGAGCTGTCCGTGCTGCTGCTTCTCTCCTCAAACAGGAAAAATAAAGGACAGCAGCAAATCACCCTGTCGAGCATCATGCGGCGCACGATAAAACAGTCTCCAGGGATGCCAAGGGACTTTAAAACAGGAGGCACGTTTCATTTTCTGCCCATGTAAGGGCCCCTCTCCTATGCCAAAGCACGGAGGGAGCCCTGCATAAATAAGAAGGAAGCTTTTTAGGAGCTCGTGGCTCTTAATGAAAAAGAAATTCTTGAGAGCCACGATCACATACCTCCATTTTCCACAGAAAAGCATCTTCCAGGCTGCACACCCTTAGAAAAACAGCAGCTCCTGTTTGCTGTGCAGGACTCCCATCTCTCCAGGATCACAGAGGTGGGATTTGCTCCCTGCACCGCCCATCCCTGGGACAGAGCACAGGTCAGGGGGTGCACAGGGATGGATCCCCCCATCCGCCCAGCCCTCCTCACCCACACCCTCCAGCAATGCTCAGGATGCTTGACCTGCACCATAGGAACACCCAGTGCCAACAGCGCAGCACTGCATGGCTCTGCTGCCACCACATCCTCCTCTTCCTCCTCCCAGGGCCGGCATCCGAGCACAGAACAGCGACAGGAGACGGCAGGCTGAGACAACTGAATTAACTTTATTGTTTCTTCTAACTGCAGATTCAAGGTATACAACTGAACATTGCTATTTTCCTTATGAGACTTATAAATAAAAATACAAAAAATGTCCACTACAAAAAAATCTACTGTTAGTAGGATGTAAAAAATATTCTCTTTGCTATAGAAGGCACGAACTTCACTTAGTGACACATGGAGAGAAAAAAACCTGCAGCAGTATATTCTTTTTTTTTTTCCTTTTTTTTTTTTTTTCTTTTTTTTTTCCTGTCAGAAACACTGAAGTTTTACAAAGAAATGCATCTGAATCTACACAGAATGAAGGCAGATGCGGAGAGCTGCAACTAGGAGACACCACAACTCGGGACTTTTTTTTTTAATTATTTTATTCATTTTTCAGGAAATTTTAGCTAACTGCATCTGTGGCTAAAGAACAGATAGGACTCGCAAGCAGTACTGCAAAGGAACAAACAGCGAGGAAACAGAATTGTACAAAAAAAAATAAAATAAAATAGTAACCCATACTCTGAAGAAACAAAAACAAAAAATTGGGCACCTTCTAAAATGAGGCTACCAGGAGGTGCTGAGGTAGACGGAACTATAACATCAATTAATTCCAAACACTAGTTTTAATACAGAGCAATCAGACTGGCACTTGGGCTGTCACGACATAAAAGACAAGCGATGAAAGAAAGCCTTAGTTTGCTTGGTCCAGCAGGGCAGTTGGTCCTCAGTGCTATAATATACATATATATACTTATATATATATGGATAGGTGTCATGGAGCTTTACCATGGCTTCGCAGCCTCAGAAGTTCATGCATACGTCACACTACGTGAAACAAATACTAGGATGTGCACTCAAACACTGGGACTGGGTGGGGGGGAGGCGCTGTGCTGTGCTGCACTGCCCGACATGGGGCACACGGACACGGCACCGCACTGCGCGTGGCTCAGCATGGCTCAGCCCACGAGCACAGGGAAGCTGGCCGCCACGTCGCCCTCCAGCTGGGCAACCCATCATCAGACACAGCCTTGCAGTGACTCTGCTCGTGCTGTTTGGGAGCCAATGGGAATCCTGATTCCCATTCTGCACCATGCTGAGCTCTGAAGCCAAACGATGACAGCGTCTGCGTTAGGGGAGGAAAGGGACAGTGAGAGGGAAGGGAACGTTAAAGCAACAA